TCTCTCTCTCTCTCTCTCTCTCTCTCTCTCTCTCTCTCTCTCTCTCTCTCTCTCTCTCTCTCTCTCTCTCTCTCTCTCTCTCTCTCTCTCAGAGGGTTCTTTCCGCCCTTCCCTCACGGAACTTGTACACTATCGGTCACACACACACACACACACACACACACACACACACACACACACACACACACACACACACACACTCAGTCTATTTTTGTCTGTCTGTCTTCCCTTTGTTGTTTGTCTGTCCTCTGCTTTTTTTCTTACTTTCTATGTGCCCAACTGAGCACCTTTAAGTAGTGCCAAACAGTCGGTCATTCCCCGTCTGGAGTGCCTACAGCACTCTTAGGGGGGGGGCTTGGTTCGGGATGTCTGTGTTGCCTGTGGGCAACGATGGATGGTCAACGGTTGTCAGAGTGACTCCCTGGCTCAGTGGGTGGTGGGAACCAACAGTCTGCGGTGTTCAATCGTGATATGACTACTGTAGGTGATGTGCTGCTTTGCTCCGTGTTGTATCTGTGGACTGCTCATATGCGCACCGCCGCTGCCTTGCCGCCTGTTCCGCTTGCTTCGCATGTGGTTCTCTGCAAGTTGCTGTGCTCGCTGTGTGGTGTGGCCGTGTTGTTGGTGTTGCCTTGCGCTTCGCTGCTCCACTGCCTTGCCGCCCATCCGCTGGCCGTGCCTTCCATGTTTGTTGCTTGCATGCCTTGTAGTTTGGTTGCCTTGTTGGTGTTGCCTTTTGCTTCGCTGCACGATTGCCGGGCTGCTTGTCCGCTCGCCCTGTCGTCCCAGTGTGGTTGCCTTACCTGTGTTGCCTTGTGCTTCACTACACGGTTGCTATGCTGTTCTTCCGCTTGTCGTGCCGTTCCTTGCAGTCGTCTTTGGTGTTGTGCAGCCGTGTCTCCTCTAGTGCTTTGCCTGGTCCTCCGCGGCGTTGCTGCCCACTGCTATGTTCTGCTTGGGGACAGTCTGCGATCAACATGGGTCAAAGGGTTCATAATCTCAACCATCAAATACCGAGATTCCACAGATTGTCGAGGGTTCAGCCTCCTGATGACTCAGTGCAACTCCGATGAAACAATCTTTCATCATCAGTGTTTATGTTTTTCAGGGGGGGGGGGTTTCAGTTTTTTTAATCTTTTTCAGTTTTTTAATTTCCGTGTGATCTGTGTCCCCCTGTGTTGCCTTCCCTCCCGCCTCCCCCGTGCCCTCCAGCCTATGTGTTGTCTCAAATTTTTCCTCCCCCCGCATGCTCAGAGTCTCCAGTCTATGTGCCCTGTTGTGCCTTGTCATCCAACTGCGCATTGACTCCCTACGCCTTGGCTTTGTTGTCTACCTTTCCCCCTTCTTCTGTGTTTGTTTGTCATATATTGTCGTGTGTGTAGTGGGCCATACAGCAGCTGCATTCGAGGCAGTGATGCTCCAAAATGTTTGTTTTTTTCTTACCTTCTGCAGGTGGATGTGTCTGTCCCACGCCGACAAGTAGTTCCACAAAGCATACTAGACGTTTTGGCCACGCCCTGTCGAGTTGGCACGACTTGCGTCGTTAGCAGGGTACACTACGCCTGCTATGAGTGACCACGGTGTGCGGACGCTTTTCAGCGATGGAGAATTTGCCTGGCATAGCGTTCGTGCCAAGGCGTGCCTGCGTGCACACACCCTCAAAACACACACACACACACACACACACACACACACACAGAAACAGAGGTAAGGAAAGTGAACTGTGAGAGGGGTAAGCGTGGTACTGCACGCCAGAGAGAGAGAGAGAGAGAGAGAGAGAGAGAGAGAGAGAGAGAGAGAGAGAGAGAGAGAGAGAGAGAGAGAGAGAGAGAGAGAGAGA